GTGCGGTTGCGCCCGGGAGCGGAGACCTTGTCCTGCAGCCGCTATCCGACCCGGCCTCCAGCTGATGGGGTGGGGTGGGGTGGGGCCAGGCGGGCGTCCCAGGTTTGGCAGAGCAGGAGATTCGGGCGCAGCGTCAGAAGTGGGATTGAACCCACGTCCTGGAGCATTCAATTCCAACGACCCGGGAAAGACAGGGGGGACTCGGCTTCAGTTAGCACCCCCACCCTTAGACCCAGAGACAGGCCGGTGGGGGAGAGAGACCAGGAGCGTCCAGACCCGCGCTCACTCTCCCAGTTATTCTCACACACCCGTCGCACGCTTAGGCCAGAGCCACTTCTCCGACCCTGTCCAGTTAGTTGGTCAGGCTCCTTTGGTTTATCAGATGGTCCCTGGGGAATTGTGTGTGGCCAGAGAAACACGCAGAGGCATCAAGCTAGGCTGCTCAGAAAGGCCTCAGAACTGGCAGGTGGCAGCCCCATGGCCTCCCTCCCCTCCAGCCCCCTTCCCCACCCTGGCTGTATCCTCCTCTCCAGCCCCCTTCCCCACCCTGGCTGTATCTACCCCTCAGTCCTCCCCAGAGGGCAGCCTGGATGCTAGCCTAATTTCAGTTCCTTCCATCCCTGATCCAAGCATATGTTGCTGGTGTCTCACTGTCTCGGACACACACTACCGGGCCAGAGGGCAGAGGGTGCATCCAGGCTCAGGCTCAGAGGCCCTTCTAGGTGTTGCAACACCCTGAGCCTCCACTGCACCCTTGTCACTTGTCTCCCAAGCTGCATCTCATCCCACAAACAGACTCTAGGTCATTCTCCAGGACCATCCGACTAGCCTGGTTACTTTCCTGCCAGGGAAACTGAGGCAAGGAGGGACTTGCCCAGAGTCCCCTGGAGCTGCTCATTCAAATCCAGCCCAATCGCAGCGTCCTTTGGTTTATTTTTCATACCAAAAGTCCTCCACTCTTGGACCCTAGCTGAATGAGCCACAGCTCAGGAAAAAATGAGTGTTGGTAGAGGGATGGCTCAGATGGGTCCCAGGAGTCCTGGAGAGAAACAGGAAATAGGCAGGGCTTCTGGCTGTCCCGTCCACTGATGGCCTTTTCCTGGTGTCTGCTCCCCTGCACCAACCCTAATTTCAGGACCGATCCCAGGGCTGTGGTGTAACCTCAGCGGCCAGGCAGTCTCTGCCCTCCAGCCAAGTTTTCTCTCATCAAAAAGATCTTCACAGATTCTGACAGGTGTATTTTTTTATTACTTCTTGGCCTGCCTCCCTGGCACTGAGCCCATGCAGAGAAGAAAGGAAAGAACTTTCCAGGTTCCCTTCTACTGGAATGCCCCCCACCAGCCTCTCACCTGCTCCCCCTTCCTCTACTTCTGGGAGCTCGGGAGGGTGGAGTAGCTTCTAGAGTTCAGGAGCTTCCCCTGCCACTGCCACAACCCCCGTTGCCACCACAGCCATTGCCACTGCCACCTGCCTCCCCCTGAATCTTGGCTCTTGTCTTCTCTTTCCAGCCCAGGCAAGTGGCTGCCTCTGGCTAGGTTCTGCTCGCCCACTTGGTAGCACAGTTAGGCTTAGAGATCCAACCAAGGCAGACAGGGCCCAGAACCTCGGTCCTGCCATGGAGGAGGATGGGCAGCAGAGAGAGAAGGTATGGAACAGAGCTCCTGCCGCTCGCCTGCTCACTGCAAGAGCAGCCTCGGGCCCTCCTGTCTCTCTTTCTGCCCACTACAGGGCCTCCTGGACTTTCTCTCTCTCTGCTGCCTCTCACCCTCCATGCCAGGCCACCCAGCTCTCTCACCACAGCACCACCCTCACCCCACCCCTCCCCCATCTCAGAGGCAGGAGGAAGCCCAAGGCCCCTCACCCGAAGATGCTGCCATTGTCTGGCTCTCTGTGATTCTCTCTTCTTCCCTTCTATTTCTCAACCTGGAAAGGGTGGGAGAAAAGGAGGTGGGGACCTCCAAGAGGGACAGTCACCACTCTGCTGGCTGGTTCCTCTTCCAGGGTGAGAAAGGAGGGACCTGTGCAACCCAACAGGTGGGCGGTCCCCCTCACCTCTGCTACGCCAAAGAGCCATTCATCCTGACTTGATTCCCCTGAGCCTTGCCAAGAACCATGGCCACACCCCACCCTTCCCCATCCCTACCTGCATCTCCAGGCCCTGGAGAGGCGGGGACATCTACAGCTGTAGGACTGGGAGGCCAGGGCCAGCCCCACCCAAGAGGCTGTCTCTGCCCCAGGAATGGGCACATAAGTGCCCAGGACTGCAGCTTTGGGACTGCCAGGGCTCCAAGCTGGGAACGGAATGAACAGGATGTTCTGCTGCCTGCAGGTGAAGCCTCTGGGCTTCCTGAAGCCCTCCTCCTTGATGAAGGCTTCCGGCCGCTTCAAGGCACACCAGGATGCACTGCCACGGCTGCCTGTGCCCCCTCTCCAGCAGTCCCTGGACCACTACCTGAAGGCGCTGCAGCCCATCGTGAGTGAGGAGGAGTGGGCCCACACCAAGCAGCTGGTGGATGAGTTTCAGGCCTCAGGAGGCGTAGGGGAGCGCCTGCAGAAGGGGCTGGAGCGTCGGGCCAGGAAGATGGAGAACTGGGTGAGTGAGGGGTGCCCTCACCGTGACCTGCTGCTGGCTGCACATGCACAGTTCTCCAGTGCCCACTGCGCTGGCATGGCTGTTCATTTGCCGCCCAGAGTTTTGTGAGCACGTACTCTGTGCCTGGCACTTGGCAGGGCACCGGGTGATCAAGAAGGACACAGTCACCAGCCCACTGGAGCTGACATTCAAGTAGGGAGGAGAGAAAGGGGATGAACAGGACACAGGTTGTGGACAAGGTGTCATGTTCTGGGATAGAGGCAGGAGTGGGGTGCAAGGACAGGTACAGCCAGGTAGAAGATGATGCCCTTGTGCTCGGTGGGACAGCCTTAGGCAGGGGATACGTGTCACTTAGTGACGGATCGCCCTGGTTCTGTGTCTGATCTGTGACGCAGGTGTACCCAGTTTGGAAAATATGCCTACACCAATGCTTCGTGTGCTTTTCTATTTACATCTCATACTTCAACACACAAATTAAAAAGGTGACAGCCGGGTACAATGACTCACACCTGTAATCCCAGCACTTTGGGAGGCCAAGGCGGGCGGATCACAAGGTCAGGAGTTCGAGACCAGCCTGGCCAACATGGTGAAACCCCATCTCTACTAAAAATACAAAAATTAGCCAGGTGTGGTGGCAGACACCTATAATCCCAGATACTGGGGAGGCTGAGACAGGAGAATTGCTTGAACCTGGGAGGTAGAGGTTGCAGTGAGCCAAGATTGTGCCTCTGCACTCCAGCCTGGGCAACAGAGCAAGACTCCATCTTGGAAAAAAAAATGGGGGGGGTGCTGGGTGCGGTGGCTCATGCCTGTAATCCCAGCATTTTGGGAGGCCAAAGTGGGCGGATCATGAGGTCAGAAGATCGAGACCATCCTGGCTGGTCGAGACCTCAACACAGTGAAACCCTGTCTCTACTAAAAAAAATACAAAAAAATTAGCTGGGTATGATGATGGGCACCTGTAGTCCCAGCTGCTCGGGAGGTTGAGGCAAGAGAATGGCGTGAACCCGGGAGGCGGAGCTTGCAGTGAGCCAAGATCACGCCACTGCACTCCAGCCTGGGCAACAGAGCGAGACTCCGTCTCAAAAAAAAAAAAGAAAAAAAAAGGTGGCCCAGCTGCTAGGAGGGAGGCAGAGTGGGAGCCAGAGATGAGAGGGAGGGGTGACATCACCCCCAGGGAGCTGTGGCAGCCTGGGTCTGACACTGGATGGGAGACAGGGAGAGTCATTAGGT